CCCCCCATGCCGTACTTGCTGTAAAGTAGCATTTAGATAACTCTGAGAAGCTAAAATCAAGACTGCTTTACTCCAAATGCCAAGTAATTCCCACAAAGGGGAAAAAGATGAACATATTCTGCTATTACTTTTCCTAAAGACACTATTAGGAACAGTAATGGTGTGCCTCACTTTAAGAAATCTCCACTTCCCAGAGCATGGAAAAAAAATGTACAACATATATTCACATTACAAGAGCTGATTAATCTCCCTTGGCACATTTACGATAACATAAATGCCAAAATTGAATTCATACTCAATTGCTCTGGGATTAAAATGATGGGGAAAATCAGCTTCATGCATATCGCTAAAACCATCTCCTTAATGTGGGACAGGAGGAGGGAGCACTTGAACGGATTGTGATGATGTATATACAACTCTTTTTAAATTTTACTAAACTACAGAAGTGTATGATATGTGAATATAATATCAAGAAAACTACTAAAGAAAAAAAAAGAAATTAACTTGGCCAGTGGTTACCGTGTATGAAGGAGGAAGAGTTTTTGCTTAGGGAGCATTGAGTTTATGTTCATGATGTTGAAATAATTTGGAAAAGGGTATCAATAATGGTTGCATAACACAAAGAGCAGAATCAATGGTGCTGAATTATATACATAGAAGTTGTTAAAATGGAAAATGCTTTGTTGTGTATATTTTTGCCACAATTTAAGAAAAATAATCATTACACCAATAACTATGAGTCCATGGAAGAAGAAAATGTCCTAAAATTGACTGTGGTGATGCTTGTACAACTCTTGATGTGATTGAACTATTTAATCGGATGATATATGGGTGAAGTACCAAGAAGACTGTTTTTAAAAAAAAGTACCATTGATTAAACCCCAAAGAAGTAAAGATAACTAAAGTGTTTTTTTTTAATAGTTAAGTAGCTTATTAAGGAAGTAACAGTGAAGAATAATTCTGGAGCAGGATCAATTGGGAAATAAGAGGAACACGCAGAATGCAGTTCTTGATCAGGACAGCTTCTTCTTGCCCGCTGCCCTGGGCCCCTGTTTGGAAGGCCTTCTCTGGAAAGTTCTACAACTCTTAGCTCTGCAAGTTGGCGAATCCCACCATGGCTCCTCACATGGCTACTGTCCCTGTTGCTGGTGTGCCGCTGTCTTCCGTTTGACAATCCCTTCTCCCCTCTCCCTTGTGGAGCCTTTGAAAGCGTCGGTTGGTTAGGAAAGTAGATTCTAGAGCCAGCTCCTTGTCAATTTCAGGGTGTGGTGTCCCATCAAGACCAAAAACTAACCAATCCCTTTTATTTGTTATTAGCCCCTCCCACTAGGGTTCCAGACACCTCATTTACATTTTTAGCCAACTGTCCAATCCCTTTGATGGGCTACAAGGACTCTGTTTGCATCGTTCCACCCAATCATTTTCGGAGAGCAACCAGAAAAGCCATCTGAAGTAAAATTCTTGGCATCACTTAGTTTGCTTTTACAGCTGAGGATAAAATGCCCCTATTCCATCTCCTTCCTTCCTTTCCTCGTTCCTTCTCTCGGCACCAGGTTTTCTCTGTAGTCTGGTGGCGTTCTCGGCTTCTCCAGATTGTCTCCCGTTTTCTCTCAAAGCCATTTTCTCCAATAGGCTTTTTTTTTTTTTCAAAACCATGTTACTGGGCATTAGTACAGACAGCATCATTCCACAGTCCAAGCATATTAAGCAGTATTGTACATTGTGTGCGTGGGGGGGTGGGTCACTCTCTTTCCTCTTTTATTATTTTTTTCATGTCATTTTATTAGGGTATAATCATACTATTCATAGACATCATGCTATTCAATAGTTCCGTCATGAAAAATTCCTTATAAGTGATCTTTCCCATTTAATTATCACAGACGAGTTTTTCATTTCCTTATTGTTGTTGTTCAATGTGTGCTGAAAGTATTTTTTATTCTTAAGTATATTTCAATACCATAAACTTTACATCTCACAGTTTCCCACTCAGGACAAAATTTTCCATATATAGAAGATACAGAGTTAAATAACTATCCTTTAAAATGAGTATAAATACATCTAAAAATTGAACCCAAACTCATGAATTTGCTATTCTTTTATTTCTTGCTTCCAACATTATCGATAAATCTCTTTTTACCTGATGAATTGCTGTCAAAACAACCTTGATGTCAGGCTATCAATTAGTTCTCCTTAATTTAAAACACATTACCTCTCAGCCCATATACATTCTACGTGTTGGATAAATAACCACTTTCCTCAACATTTTTTGTTAGTGTTTCTCTGACTTCTGTTCTGAATTAAAACTCTCCATTAAGCTCACCTATTATCATTCCAAAACATTCAAGCAAAAATGTAAAAATGCATGGGAAGGAGTACTGGTTGTTTATCATATAAACAAGCAAAATAAATTAAAATTCCAGTTAAATATATAATCTTCTTGGGTGCAAAGCTCCAGGCAACTATCAGTTACATAACTGTACTATCACTTGTGTTGTGCATATAAAAATACTCTATTTCTTAGTAAAGAGCCATGAAGCAGAGCTATAAAAGAAAGAAACAAGTTTTCACCCACCTGGGCTGAGAAACCACAGAAGAAACCAAACCAGAAATGCACAAGTGTGAATGCAAAATTCTTATAGAAGAAATAGCATAAGAATTTGCACATTCGGAAGTAGGACCACCTTCCATGAACAAGGAGAAGCCGTTGGAGGTATCGAAACTGTGCAAATGAATAGTCGCTGGCCAAGACTGCCTGCAGTCCTTCCTGGCCACTGATGCCAATGCCAATGTGGGCACCTACAGGGGAAAGGAGAGACACTGTCAGTCTTGAAGCAAAAGCACAACCTCTTTTAGGAATTTGTCAACCCACTTTTATGGTATTATTTACTTATGGGAACCTTATAGCTATGAGCAAGTATAGTTGTGTTTTGTTTTTTCACATATGATCTCATTTATCACCCAGGGTAAGTATTTATCCTAGTTTACAAAAGAGGACATTTGCTCAGAAAAGTCAATAATGGACACGTGTTCTAGAGTTTCTAAATGGCAAAGCTAGGACTAAAACTAAGTCTTGTGATTCTGGATCTACAGGATTTCTCTACGCCACAGAGACTCACTTCCCCAAACTGCACAGGGCCATGGATGTCCTGTCCTAGCCTGAAAACACATGGATGATTGAACTGAAAAACAAACAAAAAAAATGAATAATAATAAGCAATGTGTTAGACCCAGGAAGTATCTTTCATTTTATAACCAGAGGAAACAGTCACCTTACTGCCATCTCCACAACTAATTAACAAGTGCTAAACTTGAGGACACAGAGGCGGGTCTGTCCAGACCACACATGGGAGAGAACTAAGAGGGAGAGAGAGAGAGAGAGAGTGGACCTCATTATGGCCCACCAAGCCCTGGGGACGACATCCCTGCTCAGAGCAGCCAATGCACAGAGAGGCCCGTAGGGTGGGCCCCACCACGAGACATGACGGTCCCTCACTGATCCACAGCACTGTGGGGACAGCACTGGAGGCACTGGAGACACTGTCCCCTTACTTTTGATCATGCTGACATCATTGGCTCCATCGCCAATGGCCAAAGTGACAGCGTTTCTGTGCTTCTTTACCAGCTCTACTACTTGGGCTTTCTGGAGCGGGGTGACGCGGCAGCAAACCACAGTCTTACACATGCAGGCAAGTTCCAGGAGATCATTCTTGACATCACTTTCTAGGGCATAAGCCTACGTTATTGAAAACAAACAAAAAGCATAAAACCAACATCCCAGACAGAACCATGAAACAATGGATGACAGATGGAAACCAAGTTTGCATTGCTCAACTGATTATTTCTGTACCATTCAATCTAACACGTCATTGATTTGGGCAATGGAAACAGTAACATATTTTAAACACAATTGGTACTGAACTCCTAAGGTTAAGACATTTTTAAAAAATGAAAGGAAGACATCATGTTTCGTCCTTGTGACACCTTATTATGCTTCCCTGGTGTTATTGTTGCTGTGCGGTGCCATCGGGTTGGTTCCGAAACTCTGTACAATGGAATGCAAAGCTCCCAGGTCCTGAGCCAGCCATCTTCACACTGGTTGTTGTACTCGAGCCCATCGTGGTGGCCCCTGAGTCCATCCTTCTTGTCCAGGGTCTTCCTCTCTTTCACTTCCCTCCAGTTCCCCAAGCATGATGTGCTCTTCCAGGGCCTGGTCTCTCCTGATACCTGTTCACAGTACTTGAGGTGTCGTCTCCCGCCCTTGCCTCTAAGAAGCATTTGGGCTGCCTTTCACCCAGGACAGATGGATTTGTTCTTTTGGCAGTCCACAGTACCTGCCATAGTCTCTGCCAGCACCCAACTTCAACTGCGTTGATTCTCCTTTGGTCTTCGTCAGCCAGCGTCTGACTTCCGTGGGAATCTGAGGCAGTTGAAAACGCCATGGCGGGGGGCAGGGCCCCCTTATTCCTCACACCATGGTCTTCATGGGAGAGAGGCAGTGAAAGGCTCGAGACGTTTTAGGAGCCACTGAAATGAATGAAAGTGAAAGACGGTCGATCCCCTCATCTCTCCAAATCTAGAATGAGCTACGGGATGATAGGGATTTGGGTTTTCTATGTGATGGAATTTTTTATTTCCTTTGCATTCTTGTTCTGTCTGCTGCTCGTTACTTGTGGTTATTGGTGTTTCGGCAAGATACAAAGCATACGCCTGAAGATTGGCACTTGAAGAACTTGGGGACTGAAACAAAAAGACACCTGTGCAAAGAATGGCATGCGACCTGTTTCGGGGTTTTTTTCAATAGGATTCCTAATTATTTCTACCTTGGCCACCTTCAAACACATAAGAGATCACCTACATTTGCAAAAAAAAACAACTGTAAATGAGGATATGATTGCTAGGTGTCATGGATTTGGTTCTGATTCATAGCAACTCTATGTATAACAAAATGAAACATGTCTGGTCCTGTACCATCCTCACTATCATGCCTATGTTCAAAACCACTGTCATAGCCAGTGTGTCACTCCATCTCACTAAGAGTCTTCCTCCTTTTAGCTGACCCTCTGCATGATCAAACATACTGCCTTTCTCCAGGGGCTGGTCCATCCTGATAATATGTCCAAAGCATCTAAGCTAAAAGCTCATCATCCCTTGATTCCGAGGTATACTCCGGCAGTACTTCTTGTAGAATATATTTGGTTGTTATTCTGGTAGCCCAGGGTGAACTCAATATTCTTCACCAGCACCAAAATTCAAATGCACCAATGATGATCCTTATTCATCATCCAGCTTTCAGATGCATAGGGGTGATTGAAAATGCCATGGTTTGAGTCAAGTGCACCTTAGTCTTCAAAATGACATCTTTGTTCTTTAACACTTTAAAGAAATCCTTTGCAGCAGGTTTGCCCAAGACAGTATGTCGTTTGGTTTCTTAACTGCTGCCTCCATGAGCAATGGCTGTGGCGCCAAGTAAAAGGAAAGCCGTGATAGCTTTGAACTTAGCTCTGTTTACTGTGATGTTCTTATCGGTCCAGTTGTGAAACTCTTTGTTGAGGTGTAATCCATAGTGAAGGCTGTAGTCTTTGATCGACATCAGTTAAGTGCTTCAAGTCCTCCTTACTTCCAACCGGTAAGGCTGTGTCATCTGCATATCACAGGTTGTTAATGAGTCTTCTTCTGATCCTGATGGCCTATTCATATAATCTATTAGACTACTTGCTCAGAATACAGTTTTGAATAAATACGGCAAAAGGATACAACTCTTAAACGCACCATTCCTGATTTGAAGCCATGCCGTAGCCTCTTGTCTCATCTAAAGGTTCTGCATGAATGCAGCGAAGCGTTCTGGAATTTCCCATCTTTTCGATGTTGGCTATAGTTTGCTATGATCCACACAGCTGAAAGCCCTTGCATGGTCCATAAAACACAGGTAAACATCGTCCTGATATTCTTTGCTTTCAGCTGAGATCCACCTGTCATCAGCAACAATGTCTTTTGTTGCACATCCTCTTCTAAAGCCAGACTAAATTTCTGACAATTCCCTGTTTGTCTACTGCAATCCTTTCTTCATTGATTTCATCAGAATTTGACTTGCATATGCTAGTAACTGCGTGATTTTTTAAAATAGCAAACATGTACATTATTTAATAAGCTTACTAAGAAGAAGCAGGAATCCATCTGAGTCATTGGTATTTGTGAGTGAATCTTTAAATGAACCATGAGAAACCTTTGAGTATAAATTGCTTTGCAGGACATTCACAGCTCTTTGGAACCTTGGTGGAGTAGTGGTTATGAGTTAGGCTTCTAACTGCAAGGTCAGCAGTTCAAAACCACTAGCCACTCCTTGAGACAAAGACAAGGCTTTCTACTCCTGAAAAGAGTTACCGTCTTGGAAACTAACTGGAGCAGTTCTACCCTGCCCTGTAGGATCTCTGCGAGCCGGACTTCAGTTGATGACAGTGAGTTTTTGACCATCACTCTCTGGTACACTTTTGACCTTCATCATGCCAAATTGCCTGCTTCCCACGGTGTGACAGGTTCCTGTATTGTTTCCACTACCTAAAAATACCGCTTCTACCAAGAAGCATTCCCTGACTTTCCCTAGAGGAATTAAGTGTGCCTGCTTTATGCTCTCAAAGAACTGAAAGTTCATTCCTCTTTTGTTGCATTTGTCATCCCTCTGTGTGATGCACGCTCTCTCACTCAAGATATATTTATGTTCCCAGTTTTCTGTTTCCCAGTCATATTCATAATATCCCTAGATTCTATCACTGTGACCTGAAGATGCTTAATAAATATTAATGGGGTGAATTGGATGGATATGACAAATCTGGCTCAGGTGGAGAAAATTCGCATGCTACAAGCTTGTCATTCCTAGTGGGAAATACTTCCCCTTCTGAAAGAGAAAGCATACACAATGGTCACCCTTATCTTACTATCAATAAGTGAAAATCCAAATGAGGAGTCTAAAACAGGAAGAAAGTCTAAGTTCATTAAGCAAAGAAATGAACAATTTGAGCAAATTGGAATTATAATTTTTTTTAAAGCATATGACTATATTAAAAGAAAGAGGATCAAGTCTCCTGGCTGAAATGAAAGTGGACATTTAATGGTCACACAAGCTTCAAGTGTTTAAGCTGTAGTAGTCTTGAAGAGCATCCATTCCAGTGCCTTCTTTTAAGTTATTTAGAGGAAAAATTAGGGAAGAGTCAATAATCACCCGAGTCCTCTAATCCTACCACACATTGGCTTCTTTAAACCAGAGAGAAAGCCAAAGCAAGATTTAGTAGGCGTCCTTTCCACAAAGTGGTCCTGGGGATTCATCATGGAGACTACCAGCTCCCTGTCCCAGTTGGGAGACTTCTAATCTTCAGTTGCTGTTCATCTGTGTGAAGAAGAGGTCCGTGGCATCTGGACAGCCCTTCGACGGAGCTTGGCCTGCAGCAGAGCTCTGTAACTTTCCATGGTGTCGAAGGCAACACATCATTACGTCTGGAATCCAGCTGGATGATACTCTAACCACGAAGAGCTAACAGACAGCTGAGCACAAGAGGGAGAGTACAAAATACGCATATCCAACTTCTTTTGTCCTCTAAGAAACTGTCTACAAGAAGATGCATTGATTTTTCCAGGCTCGGAAAGTGAAAAAATGGTCATCAAAGGCAGAAAAAAGATGCTAGATTAGCTCTTCGCGCATATGAATGATATTTCAGTGAAGTGCATTTGTCTTTTAAATTAGACACTCAAAGGAGTGTTTTGATATTTGCTCAAGATTTGGGACCTGAACTACATTAAAAGTGCAATGCAAGTTTATTCTATTATGACAAGAACCAGCTTTCCTAATCAAAGCAAATTGTTTGGCATTTCTGTAAAATGCTGCTATTTAGGAAAACCACTCGAGGTAACTTAATGGCAATAATTTGGTTTGGTAATTATATGAAGGTCAAATTGTGCTCTGCAAATCACAAGCATTAGCAAGAGCAATAATTACAGCCCATCCATCCAGTTGGATTATTTTAATTAAATAACAGTGTGCTGTGACACGCCTCCATTAGAAAAACACTTAAATCAAACTTCCAAATGTCCTACGGTCATGGCGACTGGCTTGATATTCTGTGAGTTCAGTATTTCTCTGGAGCCTCCCCGTCACTCTGGAGGCTACACAGCAAACCATGAAATATATTATTAGAAGTTTCCCTTCCCTTTGCAAATAGGAAATTATTGTGTACGGCCTATTTCTACTTGTGCCTCTTGTTTGGAAAACTCAAGAGGAGGTCTCATTATGGCAGCACAATAGAAATAATTATTGGGGTGAAGAAGAAGAAAGAACAAAGGCCTGAAACAAACTCACCAAGCTGTGGCCATTTATGATTAAGCCATAATCTCCTGTTACGGTTTCGTCAACCATTGAGTCCAGCGGCAGCTGCTGCTCTTTTTCACAGGTGGCATGGCCATCGGAAAAACGTCTGACTTGTCCAAACAAAGTTTCCTTTGCTTTCCTTAAAGAAAGAAAGGAAAATCAAATCATAACAAAATATAGACAGAGCATACCTGTTAACTCGAACAAGAAAGTGACCCGGAGGTAAAGTCATTTCATCACTGTTCAGACAGAAGATGGCATAAGATTCCATTTCCGTAGCTAGCTGGATAATTCTTTGTGATGGGGGTACCATAGAAAATCTTCAAATTCCAGGAAGTAGGGGACTAAATGTAACAAAAGCAGAATCATCTTGAGCGTTTCCAGTTACCTAAAAGCTAAATCATCATGTTGGGCTAGGTTTGAATTAGGTGCTCTTGATAAATTTGGTACATAAATTACCCTTGAGCTTCAAAGACTTCAGAACCACTTGACAGATTGTGTAACATTGTTTAATAATGGAGCATGAGAGTGGAAAGAAAATGAAGTAAATCTAAGAATTCTAGGGCATCTATGAAAAAAAATAAATCCATTAATTTGCAAAACAATGTAAGATGACCCAGCTTAAAACAGACTCCTCTGAGAAGCACATTTTTAAAAATTTGACAATAAAAACAAATGATGGTAGTAACTGAATGGACACAGCCATTATGATATAATAGAGTATTTTAAGCAAAAATTGTACTCATCAGCTCAAACAATAGCGTCAGTCTTCTGGGAAAGGAGGGTCGTCCCAAATGGAAATTCCTCCAGATGCCCTAATCGAATTAGCGGTGACTGTGGAGCAATGCTCCCCGCCCCCCTCCCCCCCATCCCATCCTTCCCAGCTGCTCAGGGAGACAAGGTGATGATGACGTAACACCCTTGGAAACATCATTCTATCGTTCCCTTCACATTGGAAAGAGAATGTCATAAAGGGAAAGCAAATTTCCTCTCCAAAGGTCTTTGGCTTCAGGATAGATGCATGACAGGCTTCGAAGTAGGATGGTGCAAACTGGTAGGCCTACTGATGCTTCAACCACAGTTAGACAACTACACGACTGGGGACTAAAACACCCCAGCTCCCAGCCAATGGGTACCCAAGCCAGCCACTAATACTTGAGAGCACAACTTGCATATATAAAATAAGCCCCCATGAGAATATGGGGAGTCAGAGGGCAGCCAGGAAAATAAATATTTTGGCTTAAAGCAAAACAAAATGGTTCCCTGAAGGCTCGTTATAGGTAGCAAACACTTACAAAAAAGTTTCTATGTTAAGGCTCCTCAGAAAGAGGAGAATGTTCACTGTAAACCAACAACTATTTTAACCCTCGGCTTCTTAATTACCATATATACTCGTGTATAAGCCAAGTTTTTCAGCACATTTTTTTTTGCAGTTTTTGTGGGAAAATTAGGTCCCTCGGCTGTTATTCAGGTCAACGTATACTCGAGTATATACGGTATTTGAAATGCACCCCTAATTGTTTTGTTTTGTTTATCTTAATTATCTTTAGGCTCAACATCTCCTTCTGCTGTCCAGGATCCAAATGACAGCTGGCCTGTGGGAACCTAGAGGTGACATTCTCCTGGGTCCAGGCACGATTGCATACATCCAGTAGTTTGCAAAATCCAAGAGAAAGATTTATAACATCAGAGGGAGATGTGTGAAGTTGAGGCAGTGCTTTGAGGTGGGGAGGAGAAGGCAGGGCAAAGGTGAGCGGTCATTGTTGCCAGTGGGGGGATCGGACTGTTGCGCCCAATCATCTTTTCAGGAAAGCCTCCCCCGAGTCACAAGAATTACGGGACCGTGTGACAAAGAAAGTGAGAGAGGACTTCCTTGGGAATGAAAATTTCTTTATTTCTCTGATAAGATTGCAGAGCTCGCAGATTGTGTCTCAAGAAAGCTTTGAAGGGAAAACAGCTCACGAGATTTCCTCTTAAGTGAAGTTCCCACTCATGCAGTATAAATGACTCAATCTCTTGTTTTCCCCCCAGAGAATGAAAACATTCCAAAGAGGGGTGAAGTTCATGAAAGTATTGGCTGAAGTTCTATTTACTTAGGATTGTTCCCCCTAAATTGTCTTCCTTCCTAACATCACATACGAACCCTTTTCCAAGCAGAAGCGGGACAATTTTCCTGACTCTACTTTCTTTCTAAATTCCCCTGCCAACACACACACACACACACACACACACACACACACACACACACACACAGTCAATGTCTCTTCATGAGATAGGGCACACGTATTTTTAAACTTTTGCTCATACTCTATACCAGTCCTTCTTTTTCCTTCCTGGAACTTAGCGCTTCAAATACCAGCAGGTTTGCACACAAAAACAATTTATTAGTTGAAGGGAAAAGCTACACACCATACCCTTCCTTCAATGAATATGAGCTATACATCTTTTCAGGCATTGCGTAAAATGATTCACCACAGAATAGAAATAACAAATGCTGAAACAAAAGAGTGCCTGTTGTTTCCAGTTCTGTACCGAAGGACAATTGACCACCATGTTGGCATGCAGACATTCACTGGTGGTTACAGCCCTGGTGGCATTCGCAGGCCTGTTCTGCACAAAGGTAGCAAAGCACGGGCCCAGATGAGATTGCAGGCAATCCATCACGGAGAAAAGAAATGGTAGGAAAAATAGAGCCCTCTTTTCAGCGCTATTAAAGCACTCTGTGTTCAAATATTAAAAGGACGTGTTAGGAGCTAGATTGCCATGACACTGTGTTCAAAGGACAGCCTTTGGCTTTGATACCAAGACGAGATCATTGAACTTGGAATCTGGAGACTTGCGTTCAAGGTCAAGGTTTACCTCTGCCACTTCCTGTGCCCAGGGTCAAATTACCCAACTTCTTGTCAACTTGATTAGCAAGAAAGACTCGGGGCTAAAATCCAGGTCTTCGATTTCCTAGTTCTTGATCTACCACACCAAACTAGTTTACAAGCTGCCTCTAACTTGGTGCTCAAACAACCTACCCAGGGAGAAGGGAAGGGAAGTGCCAATGATGTCACTCAGAGGGTGGAAGGTGTAGGCTGTGTTGATTGACACCATCTAATGAATGGGATGACACTACAATGGCTGCCTATAAATTTTTTGTAAAATGTTTCAGCAGAAATTTATTATGTTTACTAAAATGCCTTAGTATAACCACGAAAACATGTTCATGAGCCCAGCTTGCATGTATCAATATTCTTACAACACTAAAACTCTACACTAACTTATTGTTTGAACTTTCTAATGCACAGCAGTCGGCTCTCATTCTACCCCGTTCCAGTGACGTGGTGAGTCAAGAGGATCATTGGTACAGGGAGCAAGAACACGCTGTTGCTTTTGTTGCTACCGCTGTCTTTATATTCCTAACTTTGTCAAATCTGCTGGTAAGTTTGAGCTACATTGTTGTGGTAATTAGCATTTGCGAACCAGTATCAATATTTTTTTGACAATGAGTAGCAATGAAAGGAAAAGAAGTTACTAATAGTGTTGCAATTCGTGTAGAAAAAATTTATAAAATAATTTTGTAGCTGATATTTAATAATCTAAGAAATATTACATTTGAGCAACTTACAACATATTTATCACACATTACTCGATGGCTAAAATTGACAGTCAACATAACTATGCATTTTGTTACAAAAGGGCATCCTTAAGAAAGTCCACAGGAAAGAAGCACACCAGCCTATGTGATCATGAGGTGTCCATGGGATCAGGTATCAGGCATCAAAGGCCCAAAACAACAACAACAAATCATATCAATGGGAATGAGGGGGAGGGCAGTGTGGAGACCCAGAGCCCATCAGTAGTCAATTGACACCCTCTGTTAGAAGGGCCACAAGGAAGAGATGAGCCAGACACAATCTCCCTCTAGTTTTCAATGCTTCCCCCCACCTGCACACCCCACTGTCATGACCCCAATTCTATCTTACATATCTGGCTAGACCAGAACATGTAAACTGGTACAGAAAAGAGCTCACAACACAGGGAATCCAGAACACATAAACCCCTTAGGAACAATAAGGGGAGCAGCAATACTGGGAGGGTAAGGGAAGGAGTGGGGGAAAGGGGGGCTGA